AACTAAATGTTCTGCTATTCCGTCGGATCTGAAAGCACAGTCGAACCAGTTCCTCCTGACTTTGACTTTTGAGAATAAGTTATTAAGTAAAGGAGCACCTTTCGCAACAGTGTTGCATTCGAAAGCTGTCAGGTAGAGAAGATCAATTCCCGTATTACTGGACTGCTTATCAAGACACTGTCTTCTGTATAGCCCAGATCAACAAAATATCTGGCTGGGCATCTTGAACTGCGCCTTGTACCGCCTTGACGATAGTTTGCTTGAGTTATCGAGTTTTCAGTTTGCAGTAACAAATGCTCTCGTACTGTCATGCTACCTTTATAATATTCCCTAACCATTTGCTGTATATCTTTATGGTGGTCATGGCACCCAAAAGGAGGAAAGTCCCTTGAATAAGTTTTCTTTCGTGAAGCAGTTAATTCATTTTTCGCTTCTCTGGCAGTTTTCCCAAGCGTCCACTTGTACGCTATTCATTTATGCCACAGTACGTTTGTTCAGATTGTTCCACGATTAATTGATTTGCCAGCCATGTGCAGCGAAGCAGCCCATTAACTTAGCCCATATCCGCTGAAATTCTGAAGTTATCAGTCGGTGACGAAAAGGGCTTCGAAGCCGGTCTCTGCCTTTTCAGAAGCAGAATCAGTTGTCGGTCGGCAACGGTGAGCCGCTCGACTGCCGCGGATCATTTTCACGCTGCAAACCGGCATATTTGCTCCGTGTTTTGTGTTAGAAGAGTTTTTGCTTCTGTAAGCTTCCCCTCCCCACTCCTCTTCCCCTGCCGCTTTTTGCAGCCAGTTCTTGTCGACTGTTTCATACGCAGATTTGAAGACTGTGGCTAACAAACGCGCAGACGCCGGAAAGGTGACATGTCAAACCGCGACGTAGTTTTATTTCAATATCCCGTAAGTGACTAACGGTCAGCGGTCTAAGTATCGAAACTGGTATCTACGAGAAGTTTATTCGCTTGTGCAGTGCACTTGCTGCCAGCAGCATGGCATTTTCATTACACATAACGACACAACACAACAGCAAAAAATGTCATGTGATGGACAGCAGTCTTCACTGTTCTCAATCTCGCTAACTGTGTAATAAGTCTCTTCAGCTGATTCGGCACTGAGAGCCCTGGAGAAAAATGAATAAACCGACTGGCGATACAGCTCTGTGCAACTTGCAATGACGTTGATCGTACCCGTAATTCTCGGACCGATCGAGACGGTTTTTCTGCACGTTATATGTAACGAATGACAAATGTCCATCATCATCGACTGACCCAGCCGCATGGTGGCGCCATGGATGGATGCCGTCCAAAAAGTAATTTTGGCCGCGTAGGACAATGTAGTCTTTTTTCCGGAGATCAGCAAAGATTATGGGACCGGTGTAGGAGACCGATCACAGCAGATAGCTCAGCACGAAACAGTGAACCATTTCACTCGAAAATGGCACTAACAATTTCAGTTTCACTCCGTTCGAGTAGTTTTCGCATATCCTGATGAACGCCGAATCTACTAGTCCTCGCCTTGAATCAGGGTCAGTGATTCTGACATACTTTTAAACAGGTTGTAGATAATGAAAAATGCCGTTTCAGCGCATTTGTTAGTTTTCGTCATCGCATCAATATCAGAAGATCGGTGTTATATGATTAAGAAACTAAAATCAAGTCAAAGCTAAATCCTAGGTTCAATGCGAATAGTAGGCTAATTAAAGCAGGAATGAGGTTCAGTAAAATGCACAGTCGGTTCCTTGATTTAGAAATATCAGAATATCAAAAGAGATACTGCGAATAGATACGATATGCGCAAAATAGCAACAACAACAGTTGACTGATCCTTCGTCGTAATTAACACTAATTACCACTATTTAGGTGTCTATGTCAACGTTTATCTTCGTAACGTGCGATTTGTCATCACAAGCTTCCATATCTTCAAGTTAGCTCATCTTCCCATCTGAGTTGAAATCTAGGTTGGGCACTTTTACCCCCTTGAGTATCGACCAGTCACTGCTGAGGTCTTTCGGTCTTCCATCAGTCGTGCAGTGTTGTTTGACAAGAGCTGCACGTAGAGCCGTATGAGGGCCAGTTTTATTTCTGCTTCTCATTTCATTCGATTTTGGCGAATGAGTTTGGCTACTGTTGCCAGGCGTTATGGACAGAATGTCCGTTGCCCTTCACCTCGGCTGGATGGAGTTCCAGGTGACATCTCAGTGAGGCTTGGCCCGCGCTGAATTTTCCTCTGCGAGCTCGGACACAGCCACCTTTTCGCTGACGATTTTTCCTCCGCACCATGAAGTTGGGCATCAACTATAGCAGGCGGTCTTTACGCAGTCTGTTGTTATTCACTGAGATTTACAGTGGTTCACTGATAACAGCTTGTAATAAGTCACTGATGCATGCCTGTCAAGTAATTGTTGATTTTAACCGTTTCTATTCTAATACCGGATTGAAGCTGCGTAATGGCACCGTCAGTTTGCTTCTAATCGC